AAAAATCAATGAGCAAAATTTAAAAAATGAAGATGCATATTTATTTTTGTTATATATTTGTAAAATTAAATATAAATATATGCATTGAAATTTTGTTATCTAAATGATATATATCTATATATATATATATATAAAACTTTTCTTCTATTATTATATATGCCTTGTTGTTGTGACCCCTGAATACATATTTTGTCATTTTAATCATATTTATAAGTTACATCATTAATTTTTTATAACAATGTTCTCATTTTACCTTTATTACATGTTGGTAAGAGATATGTGCCATTAAAAATCTATATTTAATAAAGACAAATTTAGAGAATTATTAAAATTTTAGACAAAGTTAATAAGTTTTAATATTTTCTTAATTTTGATGAAATGTTGTAAAAGTGATTTATAAATAAAACTAGATGAGTAATTAACATCTATCCCAACAATGATCAATAATTTACATAAAGAACATGAAAGTTGAGAATAATTCTTATGATTAATTTCAATTAACTTTTCATAGAAAGGTTGTATGAGATTAGTTAACGATACTTCCGATCTGATTTTGGAAACTAGCATCCGTGCACAAAAAACATAACGAACAAAAAAAAAAAAAAGACTAACATCTTTTGGTTTCTTAAACTTATCTTTCTATTAAAAATAATTCTATTTGAAGCACTATTAGATACTAAATACGAGCATTTCATTTAGTGAGAATTCAAATTTTAATTCATTACATTGTTATCAAATTTTAATTCATTACATTGTTAAAGACTAACATCTTTTGCTAGACTCAACTCATGTTAATATAGTGCAATGAGCTTTAATTACAAACAAGTAATAATAATAATAATAATACTAATAACAACAAAAAATATAAATTTGAGACCCTACACTTTACTTGCATTTTGCTATGGTTTCTTGCACTTTTTTTTTAATATTTTAGGCTCTTGTACTTTTTTTTCAGTGTTTTAGGTCTCTCTATAAATAAAATGTAGAGACCTTGAAAGAATATAAAGCACAAAAAATAAAAATAAAATATAGAGATATAAAATATCAAAAAAAAAATATAGAGAATAACAGCAAAATAGCAATGAAGTGTAAAGATTTAAAGTTATATTTTTTTAATAATAATCACTATTAATACTTTTATCAATTTTTTATTTTAAAAAGCATAAAATAAAATAAAAATTAAAATATCAATCTGGATCATCTAAGTTTATAAGATCCAAATCTATTTCAATAGCGGTGGAGGGGGAGGAGGGAAGCCCAGACCTCATATAGAAACAACGTTTTCATGAATTCTATAAACCAATAACAAGAGGAGATGGTACGCAGTAGAGCTAGCCCTACAAAATCAAGAGGCTTGGAAGATTACTATAACTAACAATTCCGTAATTAAGTAACAAAGCACTGGAAAATCCAAGAGCCCAATAGCATGCCCTCTTTGATCCATGAAAAAGAAACTGAAACACCTTCATAAGTTCTTGCCTGTCCGTCCATTTCCATTCCTCTCTCAATCCTGGCAATGGCTTCGTGATCACAGACCTCATCCTCAGTACTGAAACCAAACACAACAATGGAAATGGAAGTGTCATCATGGTGAGCGTAAAGATCTCAACACTTGACATTCTCAACAGATTCTTAATCACCCAGAATGAGGAAACCCAGTAAACCACATTGAGAATAATAGTCCCTCCAAAAACTATCGTAGCAACATAACAAAACCCTACGAATTCCGTCAAGAAAGCATCCCGTGTGGTCATCTTCAATGAGCTCATTTTCTTCATACAATGGCGAATCATGAGAATCATCGACAGCTGGATCGCTAATGATCCGAAGCTCTGCACGAGAACGCTCGGATAAATTTGATCGGTCATGTAAGCGATCCAAGCTCCAGAGTTGATCTCAACCACGCTAAGAATCGCCAATGCGTTTTTCAAACCCTCAATGTTCTTCGCCAAATTTAAGAATGACTCTCGAATCTCTCTTTCCAGTAATGAATTGTGGCTTTGTCTGGGGAATCGATCCTCATAGATTTCAGATTTTGAGGGGAAGCCTTTCCGATTAACCGGCGAAAACGTAGGCTTCCTTGGTCCCTTGGAAGAAGAAGTACCAAACGAAGACGATCTTAGGAAATTAGGTTCCTGGATTTTGGGTTTCTGCAGAGCGGTGATTGATGATGGGGATGAAGCAATTATAGAAGCAAGAGGGAGAGAGAATTGATAAAGTGATTTTGTAATTGTGTCGCAAGGCAGAGATTGTGAGCGGAGAGAAAATGAACGAGAAGATGTTAACAGCATGGAGCCAAACCTTCGTGAAATCAACGATGCCATGACTGTAAAATTAGTGAGATTCAGTTTCTACAATCAAAAGATATGAAAACCCTAGGTACGTCTTGAAGAAAAGGTGTCAATGAAGAAAAACATGATAAAAGAAAAAAGCATACGGGTAAAAGGCAACTATTAAGAAGACTGGTGAATTAATGAAATAGTTCCATGATTAATTGAAAATTTTAAATGAATTTACATGTTATAATTTTGTTACAAGGCAAGAAAATAAAAATATCTACAAAATCAATCAGCTAAGGATATCCACTAGCTTAAAATAAAATAAAAAATACATGAATATCTATGAAATTATTTTTTGAGGGGCATTTATGACTAAATTGTTAAATTTTATACCTATAACTTAATAGTCAACATTGTTAATTTTTAATAGTTTGGTCAAACATGTCCTAAAAAAATAATTTCACAAGTATTCACACACTTTTTTTTATTTTAAATTACTGAATGCTTCTAAAATACAAAATGAATACTAAAATATTAAGAATGAAGCACCCAACATGCTTCATTAATTTCAAGTTAACAAACGTTTATTTTTAAATGATGGGGCCTGCATTCATCATTTCTCTTTATCTTTCCACTGCAAAAACTTCTCACAAAACTCATCTTCCCCCTAAATGAAAAGACCATCAATAATCTTATCTTCTCTACCTTCATCGTCACTATGTGCTGCTCTGCTTCTTTGATTTCTCCTCTAATACGTGACATCAAACTTTGTTTGTCAAAAGAATATTGCTAAATATTGGTCGTAGAGTTAGAGAAAGAAATAGTGTCACTTTATTATGACTCTTCCAAGGAAGTTCTAGTGGGCACCTGCATAGGCTCTTCAATTGTTGTACATGACAACCTTAATTGTCTTGTTGGGAAGATCTCTGGCGTTATCAATGTTGAACATGAATGTCTCATTCCACTAAGGATTCAAGTCCTTGAGCTTAGTTTGAGTCCTTTGCTTTTGCTTGTCAAATTCTACTTCCACAAAGGGGCTAGTTAAGCCTTCTCCATCTTTAGGTATCAAGTCACTCACATCTAGAACTTCCACCACAAATGAGGAAGATTGATACTTTTATCCCTTTTTATGATGATTAATGGCCTTATTATCATTTTTGTGTATGTCTTTGTAGCACTCTTGACTTTTGATGTTCAGACACTAAGCATTCTTTGCCCAATATTGGGCATCCATTAAGTTCATTGATGGGGATGTGGTCTTCAATCTTTTTATTTGACTGCTGAAGTTGATGTTTCTTAATAAGGGAGCAATGGTATCAATGGCAATCAAAGGAAGGAGGGAGGAAGGAGCAGTGGCATTGATGGTAACAAAACTAAGTCTGTGTGAGAGAGACAACTCAAATTTGAGAGAGAGAGAAGGGGGGAGGGAATCAAAGGAAGGAGAGAGTAATGGCATCAATAGAAGTGACCTGTGTGAGGTTGACGGTGAAGAAGAGGTTCACAATTCAAGAAACACGAGGGGTCTGTGGTATAATTACTTGTGCATTTTGAGTGAACCTTATCATGATAATGAATGTTTCTTAGCTTAAAATTAACAAAAATCGTTGGGTGTTTTGTTTTTGATAATTCAAGATTTATTCCGCATTATCATGAGTTATTCAGTAATTTTTAAAAAATAGTTGGTGAGTAAATTTATACTTTTATCCCTTTTTTAACCATCAAAATAAGAAAAACTACTCTTGTTCTATCTCTTCTTATTATTGATTACAATTTTTCATAAAATGCATCCAAGAGTGAGCTAAGATAAATAATTCAGCTATTCTATAAACGATATTTTTAAAAATATACGTTCTAATCATAAGAATCCATAATGCTGTCTTGGTCTGACACGTGTCCCGGGGGCATGTAGATGTAGCCATGCTAACTTTCAGCCGTCATGGCTGATTTGGACAAAAAACAAATTTAAAGTGACTTTGTACCCAAAAAAATTCAATTTGAACTCACAAGCAAATTATCAATAATAAAATTAAATTTAGTTAATTTTCAGCATAATTCAAATTTATTAACAATTAAATGTCCATCCCTTTAATTTTTTGTAAAATATTATGTAGTTTTAATAAATACTAAACTGCTAATAATTAAATTGACGTAGATTAGCAAAAAAAAAAAATTGATGTAATTTTCAACATATTCAAATCCACACCATAAATTTAAGAGACGACTAATTACTTTTCCGCCTAAAGAAATGATCAAGGAAAATATGATAATATTATATTTTTTTTATTTCTTATAGTTTTATTTTATCATGTCTGGTCCCTTAAATTTAATTTGCCTATAGTGTTAGTCCTCATAATTTTAAAACAAATTATTGTTGTGTTTTCTCAATAATCAATTACACATGTCGGTTTAAAAAAAAGAAACAACTAAAAAAATTGAAGGAAGAAAAATTAGAATACAAAACCATACAAAATCTTTCATGTTTCATATTCTTCAATTTTTTTTTTAAATAACTGATATATTGAGAAATAAATTGGGTCGATAATACTGTTGTTCATTTTGTTCTTAACAAGCAAAAGGCATTGGAAACCAAAATCAATTGGGCCTAAAAGCCCAGTCCAGGCCCATAACTGAGGAAAGAGTGAGTTGGAGAAAAGGACAAAAGATTCTAACTGACTCTGCTGTGCACAGTGGAATAGTTCCCGCCACCTGATTTTTCGCCTTCTTCCGTTATTCTGCAATCCTGAGTTGGCGAGTGAGTTCGTTTCTCAGCCGTACCACAGCGAATGGAAGAGGACAAGAGGGATTCGTCTGCCTCTCACGGAGGCGGCAAAACTGTGAAACAATGCGAATCAATGATTCAAACAGGCCGCCAAACTCCAATCGCAAGGTTTTTGATGGAAAGCATGGAGAAAGCCGGTTGTCCTGTGGGGAACAATTTCTTCAAAGCTGTAAATTGCACGAAGAACGTTTCCGGCGGGTACGTCCCTGGTTATGGGATAATATTGTGTATGAATAAGATTCATCTACAAGATGAGGTCAACCAGGTGATAGCTCACGAGCTGATTCATGCGCTGGACGAGTGTCGTGCTGCCAATTTGGATTGGACTAATTGTGCTCACCATGCTTGTAGTGAGATCCGAGCTAATCACCTGAGTGGGGACTGTCATTTCAAGCGCGAATTGCTCCGAGGGTACTTGAAATTACGCGGCCAGGGAGCTGAATGCGTGAAACGAAGAGCTCTGTCATCGTTGTCTGGAAACCCTCATTGCTCCGGTGCAGCAATCGCCGAGTACGCCATGGAATCCGTTTGGGATATTTGTTACAATGACACACAGCCCTTTGACAGAGCTCCATAAAGTTACGTGTAATGTCACTGTTTTAATTGTTTTGTATAATTTTTAGCGAGAATTACATATAAATTTCACATAACACGTTTAAATATTACAACTTGTATTAAAATTGTCATATTTCTTTGTTCAAATGTCAATGAACTTCATAATATTTAATTGTGTTGTCTGAAATTTCAGAATAATTCTCTCTAATTTTTATTTGAAGAGTAGTCATGTAAGATTGTCATTCACCAATATGTGGAGTGAAATGTCTCCATCATTTGACAAAATCAATCAATTTTTTTTTGCCTTAGTGTAATTAATCTTATATTGAGGAGTCTTACAAGTGATATGAGTTTTATAAATTTAAAGAATTTTCTTTTTAAATGTATACTTATAACATTAATGCTTTTATTAAAAAAAAAATCTCACGAAGAGTGTCACTTATAAAGCCTTCTCACCAAAAACACTTTCAATGAAGTAGAGTTGTCGGGAACATTGACTTTCAAATAAATTCACATTGTAATAACTCATACATTAGAGAGTGTCATAAATGACGTGGCCAAGTTTATGAGCTCATGAGTTCTCCCACCCAATAAAATTTTTTAGAATGGACTCTCAACTACATACTTGGGCTAACACCTCCTTGCATCCCATTCAAAGTGAATTGTTTCAATGGACGTTGGTCAATTTGGTTTTCACAATCCAGCATTGGTGAATGTTGTTTTGCATGTAGGGCTCAGTATGATTCAGCTTGCATTTACAGCATTCATTATCTGTTTTTATACTTCATAATTAGGTTTGGACTGTATAGTGGAGAAGCATATAAAAGAAGCTTCGAACGGGTAACAGGGGTAAAAGTTGAAACGAGACCTGATTGGAAAGCTAGAGGACTATTTTCTTTTTTGTCGCTTGTAGCTGCTCTATTTTGCTGTTGCTAAGTTTTCTTTTTCCGGTGTTGCTGGATTCATATCCACTCACTTTCGGAATTTGACAGGTGCTTTTCATTTTACTTCTGAGAAAAAATTTTATTGAGGTCTCTTGAATGTAATATAATTTCAATCGAATCCCAAAAATTTTAAAATTTTACAGTAGGCTCAGAACATTGACACAAGATAAATTTTCTTGCTTGAATGAACAAATTGCCCTTCAATTATAATTATGATTTATAGAAATATCAAGTCAAGTTATAATTTTTATAAATAACATAATTAAAATAATAAGTCAAGTTATGATATTTACTAGTGATATTAGTAAAATAATAAAATAAATTATACTTTTATGAGTAACACAGCTTTAATATTAAGTCAAGTTGTGATTTTTATTATTAATATTATTAGAATAAAAAGTCAAATTATGATTTTTATAAGTAATATTATGAGAATAACAAGAAGTTATATTTATTCTATTAATATTACTTGTAACACCTATAACTTGACTTGTTATTTTGATAATATTACTCATAAAAATTGTAAGTTAATTTGTTATATCAGTAATTCTCTCCACTGTTAAATACAATAATAAAAAATAATAGCAAGCCAAATTGTATAAAATAGATTAAAATAATAATCACTTTTATTTTTCAAAAAAATTGTAAATCATTAAATCATCAGTTAAATGATAATATTCCACCTTACGGTCTAATGGGTATTAATTAATCATTCTCAGAAGATCTAGAAATAATCATCTATGGAAAGAGCAACTTTATTACTATTTCCGGCACATCATACTATAAAATATCTTTTAGATTCTGCTTGATCCGAAATATGCTATCCATTCAATATTATAAAATATTTTAATTTAATTACACTCCCAATAAATTAATTAATTATTTTTAAAATACTTTCATACCTACCCTTATTTAATAAGATATTTCAATTAAAAAAATTTATTAATTACACCATTATTAATTAAGGATATGAGAATATAATTAAAAAAATATAAATTTTTAAAAAATTAAAGTTTTATCTAAATTTTATCTAAAACTGTAAAATAAATACCAATACTTTATATCGTAATCTAAAAAGAAAAAAAAAAGAAAGAAAAGAAAACAATGCTCAATGTTTGAGCTTACTGACAAGGAAACATCCAAGTCCAAATCAAAAGGATAAATGCATGCAAGGTTGGCTGTATGAAATAACAATGATTAAAATAACGCCCAAGGAACCCAAGATACCAGTGACATAAAATATTTGCTCATTTAAGTATTTCCTTTTGAAACTTACTTGTATTATATGTGTTTGAAATCAATTTTATGGATATCAAAATTTAGTTTCATTTAATTAGTAAAGAAGTTATATTAACTTAATGAGTTAAGGTTCAAATTTTTCCTTATACTTATTTTTTAGGAGAACTAGGCATCCTATACTCCTTAGTGGGGCAGTTTTTCTCTTGAAGTATTTTTATGAGGTCTAGAAAAGCCCTTTTATTAGGAGGCCGTGAAATCCACCGTGATATCATGACATGGCAACTCATGGGGCTCAGGGAAAATCTAAGGTGGCTTAATAAGTGTGGATTTTGATTTTCTAACCATCTGACCTAGCATCTAAATAGGAGAAGAGGACACATAAGGGAAAAAAAAAGAAAAGAACACTCCACACACGAACAGAAGAGAAAGCGAAAATGAAGAAAAGAATGGAGAGAGTTAAGGCATTCTAGACTTTAAGGGAGAGTGATCGATGAGATTACTTTGACGATTGAGGGTTGCAATTGTGCAATTTGGACAAGAGTTGCAAAGAGGAAGATGCGATTTAGATGAGAGTTGCCACGTCATGATATCGCGATGGATTTCACGACATCCTAATAGAAGGGCTTTTCTGGACCTCATAAAAATACTTCAGGGGCAAAATTGCCCAACTAAATAGTATAGGGTGCCTAGTTCTCTTAAAAAGTAAGTACATGGGCAAATTTGAACTTTAAACCTAATTTAACCAGAAATCTCAAGTTTGAATTTAAGAATGAAACATTATTGGCGATAGAGTTTTTGCCTAAAAAAGTCTCATCTCCTCTTAGTTCATGTTACTCTAACCTCTTGTTAAATTTCATTAGCTCAATGTATAATAGGTTTAGGATATCATATGCTACAAAAATATAAAAGAATATAATGTGAGGAATCATTTTGTTAAGTTGCTTACATTTGACATTAATAGATATTATTCTTGCAAGAGATATACTGTGGAATATTTTAGTGGTTAATATGTTTGCAGAAGTGATATGGATAGTGATTTATTCTAGGACTTGTATACAAACTGAATTCCTTAAAGTTGTATTTTGATGGGTATGTCTGAATTTAAAATATATGTATTTAAAATTATTTGATTGGGTAATTCAAATAAAAAAGGTTATTACTATTATGTAAAGTTTTCAAAGGTGCATATGGAGATTTTAAATGGAAAGTGTTTAGAAAATATTTCATATTGAGAGGCCATGGTCTCCTTTAGTCCCCCTATCAAGAATATCAAGAATTTGGGTAATGGAAGAGGCGATCGGAGGCAATTATAGGGGTGAAAACATTGGAATCCGAGGTGATGAAAGAGATAAAGAGATAAGGGTTTGGAGTCTTTACCCACATAGTTCATTTTTGGCTATTCGGTGAATGAAAAAGATAAGTTTTTGAAGTCTTAGAGTCAAGATCAAGCTACTACTCGCTGACGTCCAATGTCAATATCCTCTAAAGATAAACTTCTTACCGTCAGGGGTTATGGTTTCCTAGTCAAACATGAAGAAGAAGATGATATCATTAACATGTGGAAAGCTTACTTTTTGAAAAGAAATTCAGAGGATGAAGCTACTCAGAAGAATGATAGGTCTAATGAAGACGAATCACATGAAGATAACTGCCATGAGGGTAAATGGCCTAAACTCCGTGCCATGATTAAAGAATATACATCTTGGTATAAGCTATGGATGAACTCTATGATTGTGAAACTATTGGGGGCTAACTTTCTGAAGCATATCATAAGAGACAGAATTATTCGCATATGGAAACCTTAAGGGGAGATCAAGTTTATTCTGATAAGTAATGGTTATTTCATTGTCTCTTTTATGAACAAGGAGGATCGAGATTATTTATGAGGGCCTATGGATGATTGATGACCACTATTTCTTAGTACAGAAATGGCAACTTAATTTCAATCCTTGGAAAGAGGATACAATGCAAAATTGCTGCATGGGTTAGACTAATAGATCTTCCATTAAAACTTTACAATGCTGAGTCACTTAGAAGAATTAGTAACATGATAGGAAGAATTATTCGAGTTGATTGGTCTACTTCAATACATGACAAAGGATGATTTGCTCAACTTTGTGTTGAGATTGATTTGCAGAAGCCATTACTCCCATTCTTTGATTGGTGTAGTGAAGATAGACCCATAGCATAGGAGGGTCTCCATATGATTTGTTTCTCATGTAGGAAGTACGGCCATACACAAGACCACTACTTGGATAATAAAGATGAATAATAGGTTCATGATCCCAAAAGGCCTACGTTGCCATTGATATAACATATAAAGGCTAGATCAGTAAACATAGCTTGGAAAGGGGTGCTAACATGTATAATTGTTCATGATGATTTTTGGGGCAATTTAAACAAAGAGAAATCTTAAGGATTGGTGCAAAAAGGTAGGCCGAAGAACAAAAAAAAATCACTACATGATATGCTACCGAAGAATCTGCATGGAGCTACGTTGGTTCAGGATAATAATAGAGGATCATATGAGAAGGATATTTGGAGGGTGAAGGAAGGGGATAAAAATAGAAAGGAAGACCTTGGTCAGCATGCGTTTGGTCAAGATTTGGAGCCAAATAAATCTAATTGAACTATGGTTAGAGAAAAGAGGAAAAATTCAAATAAACCTAAAATGAAAGGGAAGGAGAATCACTTAGGTACTGGTGAGAGAAATAAAGAGAAGCATATAGTGGGCCTAAGTCTTAAGCCCATCTTGACTTCCAACACCTTTGATGCCCTTCAATATGGGCTACTACCTTTCAATAATAATTTGGATCCAAGCATTAGTGACACTGTTAAT